CTGATATTCCACAATTCATGTTTCCAATGGAGCCTCATCTACTGTCATAACATGAACAGATTTTCGAAAATGTAGCTGCGTCACGGTGGATATCTGCAGAATCCGAACCAAATATTTAAAAAGAGGGGGGAAAAAAATGTCAGTAAATCCTCCTTTAATATCCTCTAAACTATGTTGTGCTGAAGTTTATTACAGTTGGACGTTTGAATCTGTCAAATATAAATTCTTTTTGAACTCCAACCCAGCCCATTTTCCAGCCCTTTGGAAAGGTATAACGGACAAACCTGCACTCTGAGAGGTGTTGCAGTCCTTTCACATACCTCAACCTAAAACATCCACTCAGTCCTATGAGAATCAAACTGTAAGGCACCTGAGGATTTGTCATGTACATAGTTTCCAAACTCCTAAACCTGTCACAGCATGGTGGGGAAAATGGGACAGAAAAACATACATTTAACATTTCACGAGAGATGGCATATTAATGACAAGTACCATGATTATAGAATAGCCCCACATGATACCACAATAAGACATTTGTGTCATTGAAAAATGATATACCCTACCCTATATAACCTTATATGTGTCTGTGTGTGTGTGTGTATAGTGAGTGACATTACTATAGACATCCTAGTACATATATATACACACATATATTCCAGGATGTCTATAGTAATGTCGCTACACATGTACGATATTCGTCCTACTGACAGGTGATTGGTGTGAAAACAGCTGAAGTGACATAATTTCCATTCGAGCCAGTGAATGTGAGGTTGTGAGTCTGGTTCCTGTTAATCTTTATCACACCGATGTTCTTTATACTCTCTGCCACTTGGTTTCAATCATGCTCTTAAGGTGCTTGATCAATGTAACGTTAACCAAGCAGACAAGATCATTTCTAGACTTTATGTGCCAAACCAGCCTCATCTGTCCAGTTCAGTTACTTTGTAGATTTTACTTGCGCCTACTGGCAGGAAAGTAAAGTAGATCCAAACAACCTGTGAAGAAATCTCTAGCAACAGAAACTCTGAACTTGAAGTTACAAAAAAGCAAAAACTCTGTTTTAATATCGGTCTTTTTTTTTGTTGTTTTTGTTGTTAAAGTAAAAGCTAGACTGGTGACAATGAATACCAGATCACAGGGTACTACACATGTTGGAGTCACAGTATGCTGTCAGTGGGAAGTAGACTTGATTTGCATGACTTTCAGTCAGGTGGAAGAGCAGCTGGATCATGAAAAAAGCCCATTAACTGTTGTCATAATTCAGAGAATTTCTCATCAGCCCCTCTGAAGGCAAAAGCTACAGAGGAACCGGTGATATAAATGAGGACTTCAATATTTCAAAGCTAACAGTATCCTCCCTCTTGCCAAAGATGAGTGAAGATGCTGACATCACCAGACTTGCAAGAGGAAATGAAGACAGCCCAACACAGCAAACCAACAAAACTATCTGTGACAATAAGCATAGACAATGATGAACAAAATCTGTCAAAACTGGAAGTAAAATCAGCATGAATATTACAGTTCTTAGATTTTGGGGTAGTATATTCGGTGAAGCTCTTAACTATGCTTTATAGACTCAAAGGAATAAATAAAGTGATAAATGGTATAAATTTATATTTACTTAAAAGTATTATACTGATTACAGGTATTATATCCTGTGAGACGTGTATTTTTGAATAAATTACAAAAGAAAATGAATTGGTGGACCTCAGAGTGTCAGTTCCTCACTTGAGAAACATCCCAACAGGTCACGCTTTACCACCAACTAACTACTCCAAATTCTAACAGAAAAAGTGGGTTCCCTCTGTGTATTCACAGTACAACTTTTAAAAGAACAGAAATGGACCTAGAGATTGAAACAGAACATATTTAAGGGCTGTAATTGCTACAAAATGAGTGTGTACCTAAGGACGTATGTGACAGTATAAATGGTGTGTTGACGTTGGAGGTAAATGCTTTTGATTCATCAAACGTAAAAGTAAGCCCTTGCCATCTTATCAGTTTCTGTAATTATACAGTTTTACAATTATACAATTTTCAAGCAAATGATTCTTCAAAGTCCTTTAGACTAAAGTGGGAAACACAGCTGTGAAGACTTATAAATATACGCTCTTTTATTGTATTTTCACTTTATTAATTGTCATGTTTCTTGGACACTGGACTGATCCTAGTAGGACTTGAGTTTTCACATGTGATGAAAAAGGAATATAGGCATATATTTTTCTATTTGATGTGAATCGGTGGGGAATTTTATAGTTGTAGAAAACATTAAAATAGTTTAAAAGTATGTATCTCCTTCTCTCTGTGTGTGTGTATATATATATATATAATATAGCTATTTTTGTGCCCAGTTTCATCTTGAAACTAAATATATAAATAGGGAAAAAAATCTATAGAGATAAGCAAAACTAAAATATAAAGTGAGCAAAACATGTCTAATTTAGTTGGAATTGTAGCCGCTGCTTATCTCCTGGGACATTTTCTTTTTTTATGTGTTTCTTTGTTTTTTTGCATCAACGGGGGCTCTACATTCAAGAGTGTTTTGGTTAAGGCCGTCTGGTAAGGTTTGGCACTGATGTACACCCTTTAAAAACGTACATAGTTCGGCTCTTGGCCAGACAACTAAAACCTCAGTGCAAGCAAAATAAATCCCATCATAATCCCTCACCGCAAGTAAGTTTCACTTCCTCACATGATAGTCACAGTACACAGACTGCTCTCCACTACTGAGTGCCATTCTCATTCCATAAGCAGAAACAAACACTGTGCTGCAACTAAACTCTAGTGGCCATGGTCAACAATTGTATCAACAACTAGCGAGGGTTAGATTGGCTGATGAGGATGACCGGGCATGCATTTAGGTGTCAGGCAATATAAAACATGGATGGGTACCATGATGTCCTCTCAGCTAGCTGTAGCAGTATGCCCCTGGCTCAGGGTGGGCATATTAGGTTTTACTTTAAGGTTGGTGGAATGTCACAGCCTGGAATCTCTCCCATCTGATACACAAATAGCCCTGACCTCTTTGCATTTTAGAAAGGAAGTTCAACCATAAAACCTTCTCCTCATTTACGTCACTGAGGGCAAGAGCATTGCAAAGATGATCATTTCTAAAGTCACAATCTACCACAAGTCATTAGAGAGACAGTGGGCACCATATTAATAAATCTCTATTTAAAAAGTCCTTGAGTGTGTGTGTGTGCGTGCACATAGGACTGGGTAAAGGACAACAGTTTTAGAGTAAAAAGCAGCACCATTTACTATAGTAACTGAATATTGTTAAAGTGTCATTTGCACCTGTCTTTCCTAGACTACGTGAGCAGATCAAAACAACAACAGAAGTGTTTTCATTATGCGCCACTTGATAAAAAGGTCAGATGCAGTGTGATATGAGATATGGTTCGTTAGCTAAAGAATACCCCTTAATTACCAGGACAGATGCACTGTCAAATCAACCAACAACTGTTTTAACTATAAATACTAAATGTATACTGTAGATCGTAATGTTGATCATATGATAGATACTGTAATTAGAATTAAAAGTGTTAGAATCACAACGTTTTACTTATTAGTGGTAAGAATGCCATCAGAAAGAAATGAAAACAAAATGACACAAGATGCAATTTCTATGACATATAGAGTAATATGAAATTCTGTAGTAAATTTTCCATATCTGTCCTTGCAATTCAACTGCAACAGTATCACATGAGCTTCATAAACTACATTTCCCTTGGAAATACAAACATGAATATTATAAGGTGCAAAATGCATTGTTTAATACAGTCACCTCTCCCAGGATACGCAAAACTGTCTTTTGTTAATAATTCATATTTGTTCTGCAATGGAAATGTATCCAGCAGCAAAAAATGTATGTATCTTAAAAATGTCTAGTCCTATGACAGTATGGTGTTACGTGAATGGAAATGAGGAAATGGGTTCATGATGGTCTAGAAGTTTGAGCCTTATTTTTGGATCTCAGTCAGCAACACTGGTCAACAGCTGCAGCACGCCTGGTTCAAGACGGACAGACCATGGAGAAGAGATAGAAACAGAAGCATTCCAATCTACTCTGACTTCATCATCAGAAAAGCAGAAGATAGTTTAACAATTAAATAAATAAATAAAACAACCTTTGCATTGCTTTGAATGCATGTAAAACAAAAGTTTAAATGTCAATGAAGTGAGTTAAACAAAATCCTATTGATTTTTGTTGGCTTGTCAATGCTGCTGAGTCATGTCGTTGTGGGAAACATCAGTCTTTGCTGCCGCTGTTCTGTCGCTCAGGGTGCTTCAGCCTGAGACCACTGTTGCTGGTGAGAGAAAAGTTGCACTTTGTGTTTCTCTTTGAATGTGGCAAGTATATCACTACGCTTAGACACAGGGGCGATGGCGACGATCAGAAAGACCAGGAAATGATAATGGAAAAAAATCACTAAATTGGTTGGATGCAGTTTGTTTGATATTGGTTCTGGGGGTGTATGAGCTCATTCTCATGGTGCAGAACCTGTTTCAAAAAGCCCTCTGTGGTCTTAAAGCTACACTAGGCAAATGTACACGTTAGCAGCTCCAGGTGGCAGAGACACGTCATTCATTTTCACTTTGTTTCCCAAATATGCACAAATCATGTCAGTGCTGAACAGTTTAGATTAGCCAGATAACACCAGAAGGACGAGAGTGAAAAGCTCTGGTGTCCAGTGCTGACTACTTTGGAGACAGTCTGGGCTTCAATCAAACTTTTTTATTTTGAAAATATTGTATAAACCTAACTCTATCAACTGAGGGAACATTGCAGAATTCTTCACTATTTTATTTAGGCTGATTGAAAGGATTTTTGTTTGTTTTTTCTCCCTGAAATCTTTGCTTAGTGTAGCTTGAGAAGGGACGAGCCAGAGAACGGCGACAGATGAAAAGGTGGATGAGCAGTGACGGTTGTTGACAGCACCAGGAGGCTGATGTTGGGTGGAGGTGGACAAGAGGAGCTGAAGATGAATCTGTGGACCTCAAAGCCGTGTCTGGGCTTCAGGGATGTAGATCTCAATGCTGTCTGCCCTCTCTGTGGCTGAGTTCTGTCTGAAAGAAGCTGCCCGTTTGGCAGCCATGAGGCGTCTGCGGGCTTCCTGTCGCTGGCGGTCCTGAAGGTCCAGAGAGCGCTCCCGCATCATAGCGCCACGCCCCTTGGATGGCCGCTTTGGCAGAGGTGGTGGCCACTTCCGCTCCTTAGGACACAAAATGGCAATGATATTAAACAACTGTAAGGCTCATTGTTAGAGTAATGAGCATATGTCCAACAATTATTTCAAATGTGATGAATTATAGACCCTTTTAAAAAAAAAAAAAAAACTCTTTTAATACAGTTTACCAGAAAAACAATTCATCAGTATTGTTGTGACATGAAGTGAAAGTGAACTGTCCATTTATGAACAATGAAACAACAATATTTTTAATTCCAATGGAAATTTTATGTTGTTTCCTTTTGTTTGGGTGCTGTATATGATCACATTAACAATTAGACAGATTATTTTTTCAGCTCAGGTTGAGAAGTTATGACAAATAACAACAACAACAGAAAACAATATCAACCAACAACATGAAAATTCACATCAAAATCCTTGCTATGTTTTTTATTTTATTTTATGGACTTTATTGATAGTGCCAGGAAAAACTCTCCGACATCTGAGGCAGCATTTTGTTCAAATAAAATACATCTCGACACACTACATGAACAAAACTGATCCACTATGCCATCAGAACGTCAACACCCTTTACCTATAAATGCAATAAAGAATGATCTAGATATCTACATACTCTGCACACACCCATATACAATCACTTCTGAGTGAAAGGGAAGCTGTTCTAAAGCTGCTGTTGGTTTAAACGGAGCCTGCCTTGAAGCAGAATAGCCACATACAGAACATCTGTGTCTCTGCTGGGCTCAGCTTCATGGAGCTTGCAATGTGCCGATTAAGTGCTGGAGGTGAATAACTCCTTACAACTACAACCGTAGCATGAAGATAATTATTTGATTGCCCTGAAGGAACTTGTCTATCTCTGAAAACACATTAGCATCTAAATGTGTTACATGCAAACGTGACTCCTTCATCTACAAGCACTAATCTTTTCTAATAATAATTGTTTTTTGTACATTGCCATCTCACAATAAGATAATACGTTTTAACTGCACCATGTTCTCAGAAATACTTTAAAACCAGGTTTTAAAAAATCATTTGTATACATCATAGCTGCTAATTCCTTCTTGCAGACTCTATGACAGCATGTTTATATCCAGAAGAAGAAATATTTCAAAAAAAGAAAAAAATTAAAAAAAGGTCCAATTTAACTCTCAGAACCCTAAAACCTGCTGGCAGGTTTGAAAGGCATGTTGTCTATAATAAAAATGCCAGAATGAAACCACTGATCAAAGCCTGAAAGTGTAAGAACTGAAAAATAATCAGATTTTCAATTTTTGCGACAGTGACTGAACTAATGATGTGTGACAGACAGGTACATTGGGATTACTCAGATCTAAGCTTAAAATCCTGATATATGTCTCATTTTAACTAACTAAAAATGAACAGTTTGCACCACATCCTGTAAAAAAAATAAAAAATTTAGGAATTAAACATTTTTTTTCTTCTTCGGACTTGGGAGGCCCGGTTTCCGGCGGGTTCCGGGGGACGTGGTTTTCCTTTCGGCTTGTTGAACATCGTTCTGGAGTTGATGTGCAGAGTTGTATGAAGAACAAAAAGCTTAATTTGAAAAATTAAAAAAGTTGTAGAGTCTTCATTTGTTTTCGTGTTGGTAACATCTGATTCTAGGTTTTTCCAATTTTCGTAAAATAAATACTCAAAGAAATATACCTGTGATTTTTCTTTCTTTAAAAAAAAAGATTTATGGCAATTCTAACTGTGTCACTGTCCTTTTCTGACCGTGGTGGTTCAGTTTCCATAGAGGTGTGTGACTCTGTTCTGCAATGAAAAATGAGCCCATAGTGAGAAAAAAAAATGTGACAGGAGCAAAAAAACACTAAGAAATTGTTTCTTCTTCAGGCTTCGGAGGTTTATGTCTTTTTAGTTACCTTCAATATATGTTTAATGACGAAGTTTTGGGCTTTTTTGCTGCTATCATAGTGACAGCCGATGAGGGAGATGGAAGTGAATAAACGACGTCCAGCAAAGCTTGGAGTCTAACCGAAGCCACCATGGAAAGGACTCAGCTTTACATGACGAGCACTGTTTCCAAACAGCAGCGTTGTACACACTACATCACATATGTACCATAAGAAAACTATCTCACTTCAACATTTTTTGTGGAGACGACAGTGCATCAGAAAATGTCTGTCCTGTTTAGATCTGTCCTGATTTGACTTATCTTTCGAGAATAGCAAGTACATGAATGTGAAGCAAAGTCAGGAGCTATCCAGTGGAAATGTGATAATGGTGAACCAAAGGCAAAGTGTTTGTGTTTGAATGCTGTTACAAAGTGTGGAATCTCTTCTTCTTCCCATTATTCAGTCTGACAATAGGAACAGTTATGCTGTTTTTATTGTCTTCCAAATACAATGAAATAGACGCGACTGAAAGGTCTATGACTTACTTTACAATCCAGAGCCTCGCATGAATCAGATGAGTAGTAAGTAAATAATGAGAGATGCAGCTGATGCTTTTAATAGCAAAATGAGCTGTTTACAGGAAGCTACTGGCTTTTGAAACTAAATTGATGCTTGCGTGTTGTTCATGATATGTAACCCCCTGCTAGTCATGAACCTAAAAAGGGATTTTTAGGCTTGAAATCGATGAATCATTCAGCCACAGCTCAGAATCATAGCGCTGGCTGTAGTGCCTCTACTGTGGGCTGACTAACATAATTAAAGTAGTTTTATGGCAACTTAAGACTTGCTGACGAACATCTGGATGTAAAATGAAGCATTAGCAGTACTGTGACGATGAAACAGCCTCATTGGTGTTTATACAGCATTCATTATGCTGCAGTTTAGAACTTTGAAGGCATTATTGTGTGTAATTGCCTCCAAAGCTGAGCAAATATGAAAGTGTGGGAAAAGGGTTTTATTAACAGAGAACAGTTTGCACCTTCTTCTCTGGGCTCTCCACTAGCTGCCACTGGTTGCTCTTGATCTGCTGCAGCTCATCAAACTTGGCAGTGACGTCATCGATGGAAAGCTGCAAAAGGTCCCAGAATCCAGCCAGGTCCTGAGATGTGGGTCTGGGCATGGCACTGGGGTCCTGGAGGGACAGCAGCATATACAAAATGGAGTTGTTATTTTATTTTTGTTTATCTTTGTCATGTGCAGATTTGCTTTCCACAAATTACAAATTTAAGCACCTTTAATAAAGACTTTTGTTTTAATTGTCCTGCAGTTTTTCTAAATATTAGGAAAAAAGAAAGTACTTTATTTTTGTACTTTCAACACTGACTACTTGCTCAGTGGTGAACCTCACCATTCTGGCCTCTGTGTGGCAGTGCGGCACCAACACCGGCTCACAACAGCTTCTGATCACTGAACTGCTGTCAGGTTTCTGGGAACATTCATTAACTGTCTTTATAGGTTTTTCTTTTCTTTTCTTTACAACACAGTTGGTCCATTGTGTGTTAGCACTACTGATAAATGGCTATACAAGGTCATCTTTACGGTCACATGCATGGAGAACACAGCAAGCATGGGGCAGGAAAGAGACATACTATTTATTAATGGTTGTTACCAAATCAAACATCATATAGAATGCACTGTACGTGCTATTCTTGATCTTTCTTTCTATTCCAACACAAGTTTGCACAAGTTACTGTGAGGAGTTTTCATGTTGCAGTTACATTCTGATGCAATTCTGCACAATTATTATACAGTAAGTCTTTGTTAATCCCATAAAAATTATTAAATTGATGTTATCTGTGACATTTAGATGCTAAAAATGTGGTGCTCACTGTTACTGCATTTCTGTTCATGGTATCTACACAGCTGACTGATGCTGCATGACCTGGAAATCACAACTCACACAGTCAGGCAGCCATGTGCTCATTGCCTCAGACCTCTCAAACACAGAGTACGACCTCAGACCAAGATACGTCTATCAAGCCAGCCTCAAAAGCACGTTCACAGCTTTTTATAGACACGGAATGCAGTTCTTTCTCCATCCAGCAGGGAAACAGAGTTGTTCTCTCTTTCAGACACGTCGGAGAGCTCAGGGCAATCTAATGCTTGTCACAACCAATGTTCGACTTAATTCATCATCCTATTATCTACAGGGAGAGAGGGAGCAAGAGCACCCCACAACCATCCGAAAGAGAGCAACACACTTAGTTAAGACACGCACACAAACTTATCAAAAGACACAACACAAAGCGGTTAGAAAGTCGATTTCGTCCACCTCCACAAGGTTCTACGTTTCATTTCAATTTTTGTTTTAATTAGCTATGCTTTAGAAATATGTGATTAAGTCTCCTTCATTGTTTCTCTATACTCTATCTGCAGAAACATCCTCATCACGATACTTCCATGCAGTAATATCTGCTGACTCTGTGGAAGGCTGGCATTGGAAAAGGAAAGGTATGAGTTTCCAGCAGACGTGACATGATGGCAAAACAGTGAGACAGCATGGCAGCCCATTATTCAAACTCTCCATTCATACTGCTGCCTCGGTGCATTAATGGATAGTCTCAACACAGGTGCTGCTTCCTATTGGAATTCCCCTTTCGTTTACTGCGGGGTCAATAGCAGCAGAGAGACTGCTTCACTATAGATCGCTGTGGTCTATTTCTGGAAGGAGCATACGTCCAGCATCAGGCCAGGCACTTTCCTAAAGCTCAGAGAAAGAGAAGCTAATCAACAAGTTTCCCCCTGATCTTTATGTGTTTTTCAGTGAAGCCTATCAACAAAATGCAGGTGCTCTCTTATCCTGAATTAGTTCACTACTAGTTTACATACTTTATTTGTTTTCTAGAGTTTGTATAACGAATTCCCACTCAATAGCAATATTTTTCATGCAATTTATTCTTATTGTACTAAATCCAAAGGGAGGAAAAAAAACAATACATTTTTATGTCCTCATGTACATATGTGAACCTAATAATTTTGTGTAAAGACTACTGATGAAAACTTGATTTGTCTGCTGCATCCAATAAATGTTTTATGTTAACTTGCTTAACCCTATAACACCAAGAGTATCATACTGGATACATGAGTTTATGAGACCTCTAAATCATCAGTGGGATTTTATTTTTTTCCTGAAAAACACATCAGTGCACAGAAAATCCACCGCAGATCATAATTCATGCTGGATGTAGCAAAGATAATACAAATTAAAACTCATATGAAAATTGATTTGTTTTTTTGAAGTTATTATTTGTCAGAAGGTTCAATTAACACTCCAGCTTTTAAAAAAAAAGGATTTTCTGACAATTATTTTCTTGTTCAGGCTTTACAGGGTTGATTTCAGAAAGTGTAAAAACTTAAATGATTTACGACAACAGGTTTCCACACAAGTTTCTAGTTAAGTCACTAATTAAGGATAAGAGCCAACAGTGTTTTGTTGGAAGCACAAACAATACTCACCAGATTCTGCTGGCATAGCCAGTAAAACTGCTGAAACTTTTGAGACATTAGTAGCTGAGCACTTCCAACTGCACTTCGGATTTTTCCTAAGACTGATGGATGGACACACAAACACACACAGAAAAAGAGAGAGATTCTGGTGTTATCACTTACAACTTGGCAAATACCAACAATGTCTTTCAGTTTTCACAATAATCCAGTATGTTCACAAAATTCATATAACAGTTCAGTAAGGCAACGTTACAGCTAAAACTGAAAATGTTCACTTTGGCTAAACTGATATACAGACAGCAAAAACAAAGAATCATAGAGTACATGTCATGAAAGTACTGATGTCACACAGAAAAAGCCTCGCCTTGGACAAGAATGTAGTTTCCCTCAGGACACTCACTCTCCTCTGTCAGGTCATGCTCCTCTGCCTCTCTCTCCATCTCTTTACACCATCCCTCCATCCGCTTGGTTTCATTGTGAAGGAGCTGCATGAACCAGCTGCCGTCCCTGCGAAGGGGAGACACTCGGCCTGTTTCAGTGCTCTCCAGGCTCGGCTCGACCAGCCAGGGTTCAGGTTGTGGGCTGGGTGGCCCGCTGGAAGGCCGGTAGTCCTCCCTGTAACTGAACAGACCCTGTGTGCGCACCGTACGGATGGCTCCGTACTGTGTCGGTGTGCTGGGCTCAGAGTGGCGGCCAAAGCCGCCCCCAAACTGCAAACCTTTGTCTTCCATTGAGGGAAAGCCCTCCAGCTCCATGTCTGCTTGCACTGCAGTGGTCACACTATTAGAGCGCTTGAACCTTCCATGCCTACAAGACAACAATGAAATTTAAATGCATTGACTTGAGACAAATAAAGAACATGTACTATGACACTTAGCTTTATCTGTAGCGCATACCGTTTATGGTCTTCCACCTGGATTCCTATAGAATGGAACTGAGGAAGGCCTTTACTCTCAGTCTCAGAGTCTGTGACAGTTTCCACCTGTTGGTAACCCACATAGAACATTTAAACATGCAGACACAAATTCTCCCCTTTGAAATGACTTGAAATATTAAAGCAGATTCAAGTGTCCATTTCTGTCTTTCAGCTCTTGGTGTGATTGGTGGCTACGTTGGTTTTTATACCATTCCAAAAACATGCTTTTTATTTCCAAACCTATTCGTCAGGCATGGCCAGACCTATCACCAGAATACTGCTGGAGAATGCTCTGCTCCACCTCAATAGCATTCTTCTATAGGGAAAACAAATGCTCGGACTTCTTAGTATTTCTTTAAAGCAGTCGTAACTGTTTTGCCAGTGCTAAGAGATGGATGCAGCAATGATGTACCTGCAAAATAGTGACAAGGGAATTGTTTTGCCAGAAAATGTGCATGCAGGAAGAGGAGCACCGTCATTCCATTGGGTAATTCACCAAAGGCACCAAGCAGAGCTGCCTTATTACATGATCCAAATCTTGGTCAAAGTTTGCTGGTTTCAGCATGTAGGCTGCTGCTTGGAGGTGGCTGTTTTTTTGTTTTTTGCTGTGATTTTGTGTGTAAGATTTAGAAAACAGTAACAGAGAAATAGTGGACGGGGAGGAGAAAGGCATGCTAAATGTGCAGTGGAATTGGCAGGTTTATACTTGAAGTCTACATTCAGTGAGTCAGACTATAAAACAATATATTAAAAAAGACAAAAGTTATGAATCAACTTGTTTTATGATGCTTTGAAAACATAACTTTTTAAACTGTTTTTTAAACTTAAAGTACTATGCGACAAGAAAAGACCAGTTTGTAATGACAATACGAGATGCAATCAAAAACTTTCAAGTCTGTGCCTTAAAATGAAAAACCTGCTTTAACGTAGTGTCCTTGTGCAGCGAGACACCAGCACTGCTGTCATGCTTGGAACGCTTCCATGAAGTGCTGTTATGCAGCATGTCACCATCTGCGATAGACACTGAATCTCCTAAACTGTGTCCAAACGGCAACCCTTCAACTTGAATTTCTTCTGTGGAAGAGGGAGAAGTCCCAGAGAATCATACTGTGACCAGGCGCACAACACAATTGGAGCACTCATGTGCCATCAAGTCAGGTGGTTTGGGTTAGATGTTTTCCCTCGGATGCCTCAGGACATTATAGTAGAACTCTGTCTTGACAGTCTGACCCGGGGCCACTGATTCCTGGTGCACAATTTTGTGAGTGTTGAAGGAAACGATCAGCATCCTCTTAAAAACCCTCCTGACCTGATGCGCCTCCCCCGGTCTTGGAAACAGCAGGCCCTTGTACTGTGAAAACGGCTGTTGGGTCTCTAAGTTGGAGCTACAGACCCACCTGTTGCCTCCAGCAATGATCTCTAAGTAAGTTTGGATCATCCCGGTGACTGCCACAGAAGGTCATGTTTGTTCTCTGCTCCAGTTTGTGGTCGGTGGTGAAATCGCAAATGTGAACCTGCCAGTTGTAACAGATGTTGCAAACAGTAACTGTCTGTGCAACAGAACAGTTTGGGAAGTTTTTGATTGTATCTCTTAAATAACCTGTCTGATCAAACTGTGTGTTTTTGGAGGTTTTCCCCTCTTTACCTCCACAGACTCACTTGCATAGTTGATGCTAAGACGGACAAAAACAAGTTCAACCACATCGAGGAGTTTGACACAAGAAAAACTGTAGTTCAGTTGGAACTACTACTAAGGTTACAATCGAATGATCAACTAGGTGGATTTCTAGTTTACTCGTATCCTGCCAACAGCTGGGCACATTTTGATTGACTAAAGTATAGAACTTCCCACAGGACAGAACAGACACTTGCCTTTAGCAGATGCAAGGCTCCCTAAGTCAGTCAGACAGTTACATAAGGCAGTGGTCTTCTTGCAAAAGGAATAAGAAAGATTTTTAAAATAGTTCTTTACTATTGGTCCATGTAAATAAGCTCTAGCTGTACAACTTGACTCATATAAAGGTCAACAAGACTCCTGAACCCTGCACACTGGTACATTGGGGGATCAGTAACATAACAGAAATCACATGATTGACTAATTTGCACACGTGTCGTCGTTTGATTGTCAGTTTAACATTTAAAAGTCTGTTTGCCCAGAGATGTGGGCAGAAGTTTTCCATCATAACGTTGCTTGTCATTTACTAGAAATGTGGACTACAGTGTACTAATGTGTTTTTTTTTCCAAACGGAGCCAAAGTGCTCTCCAAAAAAATCTATTGTAATTTACTTTTTGATCAAGAAATAGTACTTGTTTGAATAAAAATGTTGATGCTTGAGAGCCCATAGATGTTTTTTTGAATTTAGTGGACACCCCTCACACATATTGATAATCTGAAAACAAAAATAGCCGTTAAACAAGACAAGAAAAACTGAGGAGATTGGTGTAATCAGTATGAAGACTGGGGGTGAGTTTTCTGGCTCAGAAGAGAGAGGCAGTGAGTATGTTGTTACCTGTATCCCAATGGAGGAACGTGGGGTTTTGAGGTACTCCTCGGCCTTGGACACCAGCACTGCTTTGTCGCATGTCTGAACGGAGCTATGGCTGCCTAAAGATGCATGCCTCTTGCCTGCTGCTGACTCCATGGCCATGGTGACCGCCTTGGTGCTGTCTAGGCTGTCCGTGGAACTGTAGATGGGACGGCCGAGGCTATCCGTGGTCCACAGACCGCCGCGTGGATGCCTGCCCTCCTGGTAGGCATCTTGGGTGGACTCTGTACTGCTCTGGGCTGTCACAGAGATAAGAGGCTTGGTGGTGGTGCGCGGGGGCACAGGAGGTGGTGTCTTCTTGTAACTGGGAGGATATGATACCGCTGGATAGCACAAGCAGGATGAGAGGACGAGGACATGGCAAAACAAGAGTAGAGGATAAAAAAAAAACATGAGAATGAAAAATGTGGCCAAAGCTGACTAGGGCCAATGCTGCAGTTCACCAGCATCACACAGTGTGTGATAGAGGAGCCTCATAGCATGATGAGGGATTAGGCATCAGGGAAGTTTAGCCCTTAAAGCGAGGTAAATGTCAGCTAGGTGAAAAGCAACAGCAGCTTTGTAATATGTCCATGTTTATTGGGGAAGTGCAATGAAGGATTATGAAAAAGATTTGCTCTTTCAAGTGCAAATGAGAATTTGATGTTAATCCATCCAGATGGATCTCACAGCAGAGTTGGAAATGTACCAATTTCACTTGCTTTGCAAAGGCATCATGAAACACTGACTTAACATGTAGTCATTCAGCACACCAACTTTTGAAAAATATTTTTACACATGTTTTTCTCATATGAGTTGGATCACAAGAAAGGTAACAGCATTGTGATAAATCCATTCAGGTGAACATTCCACAGATAATACAAAGTTAACTGTATCCTATTTGAAGCAGGGTGTCTATGATACTGGGTGCACAAAGCACTAACTGGATATGTAGCGTGTGTATAAAGATTGATAATTATATTGTTCCTACCTGGACATTACAATGCAGATGCTATGGATCCATGTGCATACATTATTTTGACTGATGTGTTGTTTATGTTTGATGAATATAATCAATTTGTTCAAAATCCAGCACTATATTCCTGACTAGTATACAAAATATTTAAATCAGCCAGGAGACTCTACTTGAGACTGAATGTACTAATAATAACAGTTTCTGAATTCTCAAAATGCAATACAGGAAGTTAACTTGCACCATTAATTTAATGACGTCATTTACTGTCTAGTTAAAACGGAGCTGATAAATGCTTAAGTCCCAAAAATGTTCCTGCATATGAAGGCAAACATCCAAGATAAAGGTGAATATTAATGATCTTGATTCATTAGTTTGTTTCTCATGTTCACCTCAGAAACCAAACTTGTTTTTCTTGTTTGACAGATTTTTTTTTTTTTGTGACGCTGCATAAAAGATGGTAAATTTAAATGAGTCACAGAGAAAAATGAGCCTGTGAATCATAGCTTAAACAATGAGAAGCTGTGTCAAGACACATCCATTGTGGCCCTTTTGAGAAATCAATCATTCACCCCTGCAGTGCTTCTGATCATCTCCTCCAGTCACCCACTTGTGAAGTCAGCATCCATTCATTTACATAAACATATGTTATCAGTTATTCAGCATACTGAATGAACGGCTTCATGTGAAAGAACTGTATGCTTTGCCTATTTCAACACCTACTGCATATTAGCACACACAGCTGCAGACACAGCTCCTGACATAGAAGTCACACACATACACACACACACACACACACACACACACACAGACACACACACACACACACACAAACCACTTTCGATTATAGGTAATTAAACGTAATGAGAAATAAGAAACCATGGGGAACTCTGTTAAACTAGATCCAGCCAGACTTGACTTCCTTCCAACTTGAAGGAGCTGGAAATCTGCAAGACGCAGAGGGTGGGAACCAAAACATAAAGAGAGAAAAAAGTACGCCACGTGCTGGACCTGTGTGACTCACTTTCTATGCTGAAAGTGAAAAGGCTACAGGTTGCTTGGTGCCAGCTCAAAGCTAAGAGACATGCATGTCTGAATTTCTTTGATCTAGTATCTGTACTGTTTTTTTGTTTGTTTTTTAAGCTTTATTAAAGTCAGTTTACTATTCTGATTTGGGTTTTAATCAGAAACCATGAAGTTGTTAAAATAATACTTTTAATATATTTTTATATTTCTTTCTTTTCCAATACATGCTCACTTGTTGGTGTTTCTGTATGATCCCTTTTCATCAGCAAAATGTGATAACAACACTATATTAGGAGAACTATTCGGGGCCTTTCCTTATAAAATGAAGCAAATCTGAACTAAGTTCCCACCTGACCACCTCAGGATAAGCAGATTGTTTATATAATGTAACTTCAAATAAAACTGAATTGAACTGAATTGAATTGAATGTAGTGAAGTATTGCAGGGGTGGGTTACAATTTCCCACTTTTAATTCATATTACTTACTTTTTCAAGCATTTTTACATCCTCTTAACTTCATGTGTGTGCCTGTGTCATGGGACATATTATAGTTTCAATAGCAAAACTTAAGAAGTAGTAAATTAAATGACCATAAGGCCAAATTAAAAATCTTTTTAAAGACATGTGAAATTTTTTTCTGGAAACTGATAATGTAATTACAGAGATCTATTCTGCGTCTCTGTTAATATTTTTGTTTCATATTTATATTTGTATACAGTGTGTATAAATACAATATACATACAAAATGACAACATGCTAACGTGTTAAAAACAAAGTCATAGTAAAGTCTGAATTTCTGTTGGTGCTACAGGTGAAAACCCTTAGGATCTCTAAAAGACAAGGTGTCTCTACCTGGCAGCATTGATGTTCTCAGCAGCAAGTGTATTTAACTACAAGGCGTCAGAGGATTTAACTGTTTCAAAAATCGTCTCGATGGTCCTACAGGAAAGATGTCCAGGTGTTCAGCACTACACACTTCTGGCTTTCATTCAAACACCTCAAACTTGTCCAAAAAGATTACAATTTGGGCAATGACTAGTGAATACATTTAATTTGCTTCTGAGAGAATTGCCCAATTCAGTATCTATCCATCCATCCATCCATCCATCCATCATCTATCCATCCAGCCTATCCGAGCTGACTCAGGGTGAAGGCAGGGGACACCCTGGACAGGTCACCAGTCTATCACAGGGCTACACTTAGAGACAGACAACCAAGCACACTCATATTCACACCTACAGACAATTTAGAATCACTAATTAACCTCAACATGTTTTTGGACCTTGTGGGAGGAAGCCGGAGAACCTGGAGAGAACCCACGCTGCACGGGGAGAACATGCAAACTCCACGCAGAAAGATCCTGGGTGTCTTCACTGGGACGCGAACTGGCGACCTTCTTGCTGTGAGGCAATGATACTAACCACTGCTCCACCCTGCAGCCCCAATTCAATATGAAAAAAAAAATTAAATCCCATTGTATTGCAATAACCCTGACTGGACACCAGATGTCCCCCTGCAGACTATACATGTTCTACCATCAACCTGGTGATGGAGCAGTCTGGGCAAAAGTGGCTTTTATAGTGTGTTTGTCTTTTTAAGAGTTTATCATACCTGCAGCTCAAAAAGAAACTGCTAAAAAAAAAAAAAGAGCAAGCAGGAGAAGAATAAGAAGCCACTGAATACAAATTGTATATAACAAAGTGTCAGAAATATATTTATTGAATTTGATGTAAACACTGGTTGAATGAAGCTGAACACATTCACTCAAGAACCATACTTGAGTACAATTTTATGTAGTGCGTCACTACATTTCAGAAGAAAATATTGTACTTTTTTTCCCCACAAGCTGCAGTATTTACTTGTAATGCGCTGCTAGTGTAATAAAAAGTAGAAGTTAAAATGAGCTCTACTAGCTGCAACTTAAAACTATAACAATCTGATCCAGCAACACATTACATAGTAATATAACAACACGGGAGCCGTTTATTTCTTCTTTTGGTTCTTTTCCTTCAGTGGCATTTTAAAGGCAGGACTTGAAAGTGAGTAATTTACACAGTGGCATCACCACATTTAGTTCAGCACAGAGTCTAAATACTTGTCCTGAATGTCTCATAGTGCAAACAGACCCACACAAAAATACATGCATAATGGCAGTGTGATGACAAGTTAATGAGATGCAGTAGATGTACTGGATCCAACTTCAAACTCAAGTGGCAAGTCATTGTGTACTATGTGACAAAGATGGGACTGTGCTGAATATAAAACACCATTTTATCCTCGTCTACACAAGCAGCGTGAAATAAGAGCTGTCTTGCACTTGTGTCAAAAAGTCTCAGCACCTGTGACTGTGGGGTCATACTGATGTGGTGCTTGTCGCAATTTATTACAAGTAAAAAAAAAAAATCTACCCTAATCAACTTTGCCGTGGGTAAAAGACAGTTACATTTATGGTTGGGACCAGGCAAGACACATTCAAACAATGTTTAGAATCACCTCCAGAACAACCTCCAGCTCTAAAAAAAGGGAGAAAATCTAATGTTGGCACTGACAAAGAAGCCTCAACAATCAATACTGCCATGCACTCACAAGTCCTGTTATATTTTGTGTATGAAGATTGATTCCCATTCATCCTGATTCTGTATCTCACCTCGAACAACAGCATCTCGCTCTAAATCAGTATTGTTCAGCGTACAGTAGGAGCCCTCGTACACAATAAATCACTGACCGAGAAGCAGCTGCTGCAGGTTTTTCTTTTCCATACTCCACTTTTAGTTGAAAGTTGGTTCTTTGTTTAGTCAGTTGTGCCTGCCTGTGTTTGAATATGACTGTTTGGCTTAGCACTGCTGCACTGGCCAGTTCAGTAAATAGACCCACACACTGCAGGTGTAGCCAAGACTGAATGGACCTGAATGTCACGCAATAAAATGGCAATGCTGCTCTGCTTAAAAGTACAAGATTATTGCAAATAAATGATGAGGACCTAGGTACTTTATGCCCTCAAAACAGGCATTTTAGTATTATTAAAAGCAGAGACATTTTTTTTGCAACAACGCACAAGTAATCCAACTTATTCCCATGTAGTCTTTTCCCTGACTGTCCAGTTTAGACACTGAAATTCTTCAACGACATTTCCCATACTTTTTTTATTGGGGTATTTTCTGATGTTTTATGCACTATTTGTACAATACTACATAACTGTTTACTGGCAGATTGATTCATACTGAAAAAAATAATTGGGGCCTTTAAAATATGTCTCTAGATAATTTAAATACTATAAAAACTAGAATACACCTGTCGGGTAAAATGCAACAATATAAATACTCCTCATAGATGATGGCACATGGTAGTAGTGACAGGTGTTTATAATGTGCATAATGTTGACAGTGTTGCAGTGGCAGTGATTATTATAATCATCCCAATGTAAACCTTGACCACTTATCAAATGTAAGCTGCAAAAGTCACTTGATCTTAAACATTTCTTAAAACACTCCTGCAGCTGAATCCCTTTATCTTCTCCCATTTTCTTGTGCACAGTATGTTTGGAATGCTTTTATTTCCACCGTCATAAAGGTCAAATAGACATGTACATTGTCACATTATGTCCTATATCTGGCATTAATGTGGGGTCAGTGGTTGCAGAGCACAGAGCTGCTGTTCAAAGACTCTGGCAGGGCAGACAACACGGTGATGCAAACAGGTGGTGCCTGTATGGAGATATGTGTAAGCTCAGTGTTGTACTTCCTCCGCTACACCTTTCGCCACAAAAGTAGAACCTCACACCAAGTCCAGGCAGAGCCTTCTGCAGATGTCCAACTATGCAACAAGGGCAGTCGTGTGCATGCATGGAATACACACGATATGAATACAACCTAAAGTGCATGTACTGAACGCACGCCAAGCGTCTCCCAGAAAAGTATTATAACAACTGCCTTCATGCTTCCAGCATCCACGAGGGTCCATGTGACGTAATTACATCATCTTACCATGTCCACAGTCCTGCAGCCCAAAACTAACAAGATTATGTGACAAGGGCAATAGTGCACATGCGCAGCAGAAGTGTGCATGTGTGGAGTACAGTATGTGTCTGTGGAGTGTGCAGCTGCTGCAGCACAAGCACAATGAAGGCTTAAGGACAAACAGATGCTGTAATAGTTCTGCTGTACTTCTGGAAATTGAAGAAACTGCTACGAGGTGTTTGGACTATTTGGGCTTAATTTGACAGAAAAATGCAGCTGGAGTTGTACCTGCTTGTATGGAGGTTTTGACATGCTGGCATAATGCTAACATCACAAACAAATTGTGTGTATTTTGGTTCTGTCTTGTCATACTGAAGAAGACATCATAGTTTCTAACACCAAATTCATTGGAACACGGAATAGAAATGTCCTTTAGGTGGTTTGAAATATTTCATGGAAGATGTACCATTTTTTAAAAAGCAACAGTAGACTTGGCTAACAGCTGTTATGTTGTGGGTTTATGAACAGTGAAGCTAAAGCTATAGTTTTTAGGACAGAGAACCTCAGCTAATATTTCTGAGGCTGAATGAAAAGTGAAGTGAATTGGCGTTGGCTTATCAGTTGTGAATACGCAACACGTTTTTGTTTACTGTTTATATTTAGACGCCCTTTGTCAGCAAAAAATACCAGGAGCCCTGAGCTATGGATTTATGACTGCAACTGAAATGTATGTCTGCAAAGGTAAGTGCTAGTATGGAGGAGAAGAGACGAGATGGAGACGGACTGATACCTGGAGGTGGATGAGCTCGGTCCACACTGCACGAAGTAGGGAGACGAAACTGAATCCCTGCAAGGAGCAAGCAACACCAGTTAGAAAGAACAGATGCACATATGAAACACAATGCTGCACACCACCATCTTTACATTTTTATATACCTCTAACAAGAGCTCTTATATACAGGATGATTCCTCTTATTACTTACTAAGGCTGTCTTTAACAGACATGGAGAGAGAAACACAGATATGCTCCGTTTACAGTGTTGGAAATGTGTCACATCAATGGGCTTTGTTTTCCCAGTATTCATTTAGCAGAGCTGCTGCTATCGGCCTGTAATGGTTTCATATAAGTGAATTACATTTACAGTCCAGCTTTACCAAACTCAGGCACTGCTTCACTGTTTAATAAAAAGATAAAGGGAACTGCTGATTTCTGGTAAAGCATCCAGCATTGGCTGTGTTTCTATCTCAGAATGCATTCTAATGGCACCGGCACAACTTGCAACTTGATGGGCAATGCTTATTGGCAACATTCCTCTTGAGGTGCCTCAACCCTGTTAATGTGTCTGATAACAGGGTTCTTACTGCCAGAGACATTTCAATCTATGTTTGTTTAGACTTGTTCCATTTGGTTCTGTTGCAGCTGCTGATGTTGTTCAGAACCAGCAACGTACAATATCTCACATTAAGAAAGTGGAGGAAAGAAATGATCCAAAGGGGACTATGAAACAAAATAAACAACCTAAATTTCCCTCTGCAAATATTGGCCACAGTGTTTGTCATAGCTGTTAGGAATTTTGCCAATCTGCATCACCCTAATAAGTTAACCATGTATCATGAGAGATCAGTCCAAAGTCATCAAGCTCGGGTCAGTCGATAAGTTAGTAATGCACTAAAACATACAGCATGAGATAACATGCAGACCTTTCATATTAAACATACTGAAAAGACACAGAGCAGAAATCATTAAACATTAATATGAGAATCAAGTCGATTTAAAAATTCAGAATTTCAGATAGTTTTGATCATTTCAACTAATTGCTTTAAATAGTGATGTATTTTCTAAATCTGTGGCTATTATATATATAGAGATATTCCGTATTCATATACAAAACTTTTTTTTTTTCTTCTTCTCCTTTTTTTTTTTTTATCAATACAGTGTGTCTTCTGAAAAAGACACAAAACATTACATTTTTTTCAGTGTAAGGCCAACAAAAAATGTACAGACAAAGACTTAAAAGAAGAAATAAGGACAGTTATTATAATCAACTATGGAGCTGGCCACTCCACAACTACAGGGAACTGCCACAATCATGAGCTCAAAGAGGGAATTCTAAGTCTGGGTCAAGTGGCATTTTCATAGAGTTAGCCACAATTAGGTTTATACAGTAAGAAAACAAAGAATCAGACAAAATGTGCCCAGACAGAGAACAGCTGAACAGCAAGGCGGTCTGTTTTTTACTTTCAGGACTGCCTCTGGTATTAAAAAGCATTACATGCTGTGTTGCAGCTTGGGAACTTCTTTTAACTTTCACTTTCTATATTTACATTTGCCAAATCTTATACAGAACAGGTGTGATCACGCGGCGTATTTCTTTCTTTCTTTCTTCTAACCACTTTACTTTGTATTTGGCTGCATGAGCTTAAGTCATACTTTACTTAAAGTCCAAGGACACGGCTGCACATAAAATGCAACCATATTTATTTGTGGAAATTCAAATTACAATCACTGTCAACTTTTTTGTCATATGTAGTTTCGATTCCCAACTGATTAAATAGGTACAATAGAAACTATGGTACGCAGATGGACTTGATGTAAAGTGTAACCTAATATCATTTCATATTAGTTTTGGTGCAGAATATAAGTAACACACCTTCAGTCTCGTGCTTTTTCAGCAAGACCTCTCAAACCTTTTGCTCCTTTGTGTTCAAGACTTAAATTTCAGAAAATCGTTGGAAATTCTCTGATAGTGTTTCTTCTCCGTCCAACTCCCTCCATTTGTGCCAGAAGCTGTTCTTGCCATAGTTGTGGACTCAGACTGGCAAAGAGGCTGGTAAGACGCTGTTCCTACTCAGGTCAGGGTGGATTATGGGTTAATGACATGCAATGACTGGCGAGCTGCATACATGAGCATGGGGGCTGAAAATGTAACAGAGTGAATGTAAGGATTCTCAGGCCACTATGTTTTTTTTTTTTTTTTAACTCTCAGCTATGTTCGCCACAGGGAAGGAGCTACTATCTAATTAGAGTCCATTTTAACAAGGATTCAAATAAAGTAGGGGTCTCTTATATCTGAGCAATTATACTGCAAACCTAAAAATCACTAGCGTCACGTGTAGCGTGTTTATAGCTAAGCATGTCACAGCATCCTTAATATAGATGATAAATGAGAAAAATATCTTTACGGGTTGATCAAAGAAGTCCTCCCTTTAAACTTTCAATATGCCACAGACCGAATTAATTCCTGTGTTTAGCAAATAGCACACTGTGCGTTGTGATAAAAATCAGCACTGACTTTTTTCAGTGTTATTATACATAACCTTGTGAGGATATTTCATCAGGCCTAGGACTGAGCTTGAGTATGGCAGTGGTGGTTTGCAAAGATGGTGTGGATGGATAGATGGATGGCTGGATGGATGGATGGTTTGACGTAGGACAACTAGCAGGACTTGCGGGTGTGTATCGGTAAATACCTCCAGATGATTTGACTGAATTTGTATAATTGAAAACACAGTTTTGTGTAGCATTTTTTTTCCTTTACAATAAAACAATCATGTTGTTCATAGCCACATACATATATACATACAGTGGTGATGCCCCCATGGATGCAAGGTGGATTAACCTTTTATGTATGATTATATCACAACAAACCAATACAAATCAATGGCCCAAATCTATCATTTCCAATAAGTGTCTTTTTAATGCCTTTGATCCTGTGATGAAGTAGTGGCTAGAGTCCCAAATACATTCATATTAGACTTCCTCCTGCCTTTACAGATTAAAAAAAGTGAAAGTAGCCTATAGAATAGCCCCAGTATCAGTCATAAGAGACAAACTTCATTGTACTCTATAATCAAGTGTTTGAAACAAGAAAGACCATTTTCCTTGAAATACCACTCGTTGGGTTACACAGATAAGTTTGTCTTAAAAGTTGGTAAATAAGTATTTTTGATGGTTAGATAAAAATATTTTGAGGGTGGCAGTAGAATAAGCTAATAATGTTAACTGGTCATTCAACTGGGCAGTGTGCATGTGGTCCAAAAATATCAAGCAAATCTATCAATTCCATGTACACACATAGTAACGCCTGGTGGTGGCTCGAAAGTAAATGTCATGGATTCACCAAAACCTTTATGATTCACTTAAAGAATTTGCAATATCTTTGATATGTTGCTTTGAACCAGTGTGCTGGACAGACAAAGCTGACAGCTGACCTCTGGACACACATCACCATTCATAGGCTCTGCTGCTAGCAGGTCCAGAAGCTTTGCCACACTACAGCAGCACAAGCAGACTATTAACCTTGCCACCAAATATAAACATTTAATTATTAACACGATCAGAGTTTAATTCCACGCAGTGTGTGTTCTTTGTGAGACAATTGCCATTTATAATGGGCAGTGTAGCACTACTCAAGGAATGAAAGTTAACTGCAGTATTTCACAATGTCTCAGTATGTCTGGATGCAAGTTTAATATGATGTGTAGAAATTTTCAGACTGCTTGATGAGTTCCACTTTTCAGTGACTTTAAGCTTGAGATAACACTTTCCAGAATACAGAGTCTGCAACCATGTGATCATGTAGGATACTAAATATATCATCCACCACCTTTAAACTCAACATCAAGCTAGTAGCCAAAACTAACTGAACTGTTAAAGCAACGGTCTTTTCTGCAGACCTTAAAAGGTATTTTTATACATCAACAGCTAATGATATAATCTGAAAGCAGCATTGATTTGTGGTGGTTTGCGGAACAAAGCTGTTATGTTGGTCATAACCTGCCTTGTAGCATGCCAGGATATTTAAAATAAAGACACACTATTGTGTGTTGATTTTATTCCCCTCTGTTTGTTTAAAGAAAATGTATACAATGGGTAAAGCAAAGGAGGTGAGTCACTACTAATACCAATGGACTTGAACACAACTGTAATATTAAAATATAATAAATCAAAGCAAACCAAATGAATAATCTGGATTTTGTAAAAGGCTTAATGCACATCTTAGATATATTCCACTTGTGCAGAGCAGACTTTAGAAGGACCTGTTATTCTTGTGTCTCATTCCACTCAAATGAAGAAGATACTGTACAAAAAATGCCAGTGTGCTAACACATGGGCACCATGTAGACATGTTTTGTTCGTTTTCTTCTTTTGGTTCATGGAACCTAATTATCCAGGACTACTAAATAATCTTCAAAATTCCACTGGATCCAATGTGGAAACAGATGAAAACATTTAAATGTACTATACAAACTTATACATGACAGCATCTTTAGCTCATGATAGATCTTATTTTTACAAAGTGAAAAATGCTAATGAGTCAGACAAAATGTATGGAAAACTGTATTAACAACATAGAAAAAAGACATAATAAAGCGATTCCCTACCAGACCTACCGTACTCTCTACGCCCCCCAGCTAAGCTACGGGCGCCTGAAATGGGGGGGAAAAGAAAAAGGAAAACAAACAAACAAACAAAAACAAAAATGTGATAGCTTAGTAGAAAAGCAAAGCATATTGAGAGGGTCAAAGTAAAAGACACTGTGCCAGGCCCATGTAGTGTATTTGCAGTGTGTTAACATGTGTAGACTATGGACACAAAAATACTACTTTTGCTGTTGCTTAGTTTTACCTTTGAATGCCATTGTAAAGCTATGATCCCCATTTGTCATTTAAATTACCATAAACATAAACATTATAAACATTTTAATCCATGGTTTTATATCAATTTATGAAAAATACATAAGGCCAATAAAAGTTTTGAATGAAAAATCACAAGAAACACCACAATAAGCAAAGAAAGTAAAAACAAAAGTATCACACTGTTGTCATTTGTTGAACAAAAAAAGA